AAATCCAGCCTCCATGCCCAATTCAGAGGTGTTTCCTCTGGGGCTTCATCTGGTGGTCTTAACTTTTTGAGAGCTTTGCATCTTATGAGAAGCAGAAAGGTCCCTAGGTGGAGCCAAGGGCTTCTATAATCATTTAGATTCACAGCTTATTCCCAACAACCAGCTGATAATACCCAGGATTCCCTGAGAACCTAGAATCCCAGTTCAGACCATATAGTTCCACCCCGTTCATAAAAGTGGGGGCTAGAAACAACTAAGAGAGAAGAGAAGTTAGATGTCAGTGGGCAGTAAACCAAGCATCACAAAGACTCTACTCAAAGGATTGTACATGAGAGAGTGCTGTGAGCCAAGAGGGGTTGAAATCTTCCCCACCAAGTCCCCTAGTCGCCACCAAGAGGATTCGTCGAAGACAATGGGGAGAAAGGATGGGAATAACCAGTAAGAAGTGGAGAACAAGAGTTAGGAATAGTGGTAAGATGGGCTGGAGGGCAGGTAGAGAAAAAGAGGTGGGGGAAATGTTGGGAGGGGAGTGGACCCTCTTCAGTTCTTAGTAAATAGCACAGCCTTCCACCTAGCTGCCCAAGTGAGACCCTGGGAGTCACCCTTGATTCCTCTAACTCTTCCCCCAACACGCAGGCATCAAGTCCTGTCACTTTTGCTTCCTAAAGGTCATTTGAATCAGTCTACTTTTCCATTCTCACAATCACTGCTCTGGTTCAAGTCACAACACCTCTGGTCCAAATCCCCAAACAAAATCTCCCAAATGGTCTCTGCTTCAACATTTACTTACCCCAGGCCTTTCTCCACCCAACAATCAGATCGAACTTTGGGAACCTAACAAATGTGACTGTGTCACCTGTTCAAAGCCTCCCAGTGTCTTCTCTCACCCTGGATAGATGCAGGTCCCTTCACTGGTTTATCAGGTTTCTGTCTTCCTCTTTCTGCTTCTTTCTTGAACTTCAGCCAGACTGAGCTACTTTGGGTTCCCCAATATATCCTTCTTGTTTGCCTCTGTGCTGCTGGTATACTGTTCCCTTTCTCCTGCCCCTCCCCTCCCCCAGTAATTTCTGATTCATCCTTCAGGGATGGTCACTTCTGGAAGCCTCCTCCTCCCCCAGCCTGTGTTGGGGCTCTCTTTCCTGTCTCCTCAATTCCTTCAGTTACCCCTACCCTCACTCACTGCTCTGCGTTAACATCCCTGTCTCTCCCACCAGTTGAAACATTCCTCGAGATAGAGACTCTGTCTTGTACCCTGATATATCCCTAGTGCTCTACACCGTGCCTGGCCCTGTGAGAGATGCGAACTGGGAATAATAATGAGGCCTGATGAGATCAGGTAGTAGTCTTGGGAAAAGAAAAGAAGGAATAATAAAAAATAGAAGCCAACCAAAAGGAGGGAAAGAAGGCTTTCAGTGAGTGATATGTAATAATATTAAAAATATATGCAGGACAACCAAAAGGAGAGGGACAAGAGGAGCTGTAGGTGATAGAGTTAGAAGTAACCAATGATGAAAAGAGCCTAAGCATCCTGAAAAGAGGGAAGGGCAGTGGGGAAAATGAGTGGGTTAGCCAACTGGGGAGAGAGGAGGAGCAAGCCAATGGGGAGAGAGGAAGGGAGAGCCAATGGGGAGGGATATGGAACCACTAACTAGGAGGTGCAAACAGTCGGTGGGCTTGAAGGGCTTGAAGGGCCCAGTGAAAGGATAAGCGGGGACGGTAAGTCCCCGTTTGTTTGTGGGCAGTGACCCTGAGCCCCCTACCCGTCTTCTCCAGGTATCCCCACTCTTCGGCACCATCTATGACGCCGTCTTCTTGTTGGCTGGGGGCGTGGCCCGAGCGCGGGCGGCCGCAGGTGGCAGCTGGGTGTCGGGAGCAGCCGTGGCCCACCACGTCCAGGATGCCCAGGTCCCTGGCTTCTGTGGGGCTCTGGGAGGAGCTGAGGAGCCTCCGTTTGTACTACTGGACACAGATGCGGCTGGAGACCAGCTGTTCGCCACATACGTGCTGGACCCCACTCGGGGCTCCTTCTACTCCGCTGGGACCCCAGTGCATTTCCCTAGAGGGGGAAGGGGGCCTGGGCCTGACCCTTCGTGTTGGTTTGACCCAGACGTCATCTGCAACGGAGGTGAGGGCGAGCACCCCAGCCCCCACCGGGGCAGTCACCATGGATCCTCCACAGAGTGGTGAAAGAGAGTGAATTCTCATCCTGAAACCCCTGTTCGAGGCCCTTTCAAGTCCTCCTCAGAGACCCCTGGCTTGTGCAGGACCCCTCTCTTGCCAAGCCCCTGGAGCCCTCTTGGAACCTTTCTAGCAGTCCCAGATCCTCTTCCCCTTGCCAGGACCCATGACCTTTCCCTAGATCCTGTTCTGGGATCCCAGCCCCTTTTCCTGGAGCCTCCAGGATTTGCCATGACTATATACCTCCATAGAGAGGGTGCCTTCCCTCCACCACAGCTCTCAGCATCCCTGCTCTCACTGCCCCTCTAGGTGTGGAGCCCGGCCTCGTCTTTATCGGCTTTCTCTTGGTGGTTGGGATGGGGCTGACAGGGGCCTTCCTGGCCCATTATTTTAGGTGAGTAGGGGGGTTTGGTAAGTAGGAGATGAACTTGGCTTCCCACCTGCCAGAAACACCACCGTGCAGCAAAGACAGCAGGCTGGGCCCACTCAAGAGTAGAAAAAGGGAGGGTATTTTTTTAGAGGGGAGGAGGCAGGAGGGGTCCTGGAGAGTTAGCAGAGTCTCAGGGGATGCTTTAGGGATGGCTGCCCTCCTCTGAGCCAACATTATCCCTCCTTGGCTTCCTCTCATGGACTTTGGTCCCCTTTGCGAAGATGACCTCCTTCCCCTACCAGGCACCGGCTACTTCACATCCAGATGGTCTCTGGCCCCAACAAGATCATCCTGACTCTGGACGATATCACTTTCATCCACCCACAAGGGGGAAGCTCTCGAAAGGTGGGGTAGCCAGGATCCAGCTGTCCTCCCCTGTATATTTGGTCCCCTGCCTGGGCCAGCCCTTACCATAGGCCCCACCTGGGAAGGCCTGGTTTCTGCCCTAGCTCTGTCCCAGGTCTGAGCGCTGGGGAGCACCCTCGTGTGTGCAGTGAGGGTAACAGCCCCTGTCCTGACTGATTTCCTGGGGCCTTGTTAAGCTCCAACAAGTAAGTAAGTTTGCTCTGTAAGCTGTAAGGTGTTGTGTATTTGGGAAGTAATGTCATTACCACCTTCCCTCACTAAGATGTCTCCCCCTCCCCCGTTTAATCACTAGAACTCAGCCTGACTCAGGACTTTGACCCCTACAGTATATTTTGACCCCATGCATTGACCTCTACCCTCCAGGTGGCCCAGGGAAGTCGACTGAGTCTGGCCACCCGCAGCGTGTCAGACATTCGCAGTGTCCACAGCCAGGCCCCGGACAGCACAAACATTGGCCTCTATGAGGTGAGCCTGACCCCCCAGCCAGGCCGAGGTGTATTCCTGGAACCGAGTCCTACACTGCAGACACCCGGAAATGGGGCTGGGAGCTCAGAGTGGGATCTAGGGAAAGTTCATGGATTCCTCAAAGAGGGGCATCTGGGAATCCTTCCTCCTGGGGGATTTTCCCTTAGCCATTACCTAGGTGAGGGCTCTTCAAAGGCCAATCGCAGTGGCCTAAAGACTGGAGGCCTGATGGTGGGGAGTGTGATGGGACCAGCTTGTAGCCTGGAGGGGCCACTGAGGCCATCCCCCGCCCTGCTGGGAGCCCCTGGCCCTCCCCCTCAGGAATCCAACCCCTCAGGTTACAGAAAGGCACAGGCCTCCCTTGAAAGGTTGTGGCAGAGGGTCATCTGAGATGTAATCCCATGGTCACAAAAAGGACATTTCCAGGATCAGGTTGTTCAGGATGGGGAGTTTCCAGACACGGCTGTCTCTGATTCAAGCCAGACCCGCATCTTGCACCCCCTGCACCCCCACGTGCATTTCTACCCAAATCAGATCAGAATCCAGAACAGCAAGTCTTAGAGGGGACAAAGGAGGTCACAAAAGGGCATTAGGACATTAACTATGGGGTAAGCAAATCTGAATGTGGTGGGATGTGTGGGAGATAATGAGAAGAGATCCAAAGAGAGCTGACAGAGAGCTGAGCTAATCAAGAAAGAGTGGAGATTGAGAGCTCCTGTGTGTCAAGTCACGGACAGAATGCAGAAAGTCCTAGTATGTTGCCTTGAAGTTTCCCAGTAGAGCGCTATTCTCATTTTGGGCAGGACCCTCCCTGTGCCTTAAAGAATGTTTAGTGCCTCTTGTCTCTGGCTCTGTCCACTAATCGCAGACCCCAGTTTTTGTGACAATTAAAAATGTCTCCACACTTATTTCCGAATCCTCTTTAGGGGTCTGTATCAAATCCCCAGAATTCCCTTCTAGTCCAAATCCCTCACAATGGGCAAGGCCAGCTACATAATTGGCAAGGTCTAGGGTGAAATAAAAATGAAGGGCCCCTTGTTCATTCAAAATGATAACAACAGATCATTGAAGCAAGCTCAGGCCCTTCTGAGCACTGGCCCTGTATGACTGCTCAGGTCCCACGCTCATGAACTGGCCCTGCCAACAGCTGAGGAGAGCGAGGCTCAGAGCCTGGAGGGGAGCTGCCTGTACTTCACAGATGATGCTCCCAACACAGTGCACTCTCAGCAGATGGTGATGGGGATTTCAGTGACACTTGAGGTGGTGATGGCTCACTTGATAGGGCTGTTGACGAGTGCATCTGGGATGGTGAGGAAAGCCATCCAGGCCTTCTGCATCTCTTATCCACGGATGGGCTCTCACCCCTCTGGCTGTGGACCAGCAGGCATCAAACCTCTTGCTCCTGGTGCTCTTTCTTACACCGAAGATAGGTTCTGGGGCAATGGGCCAATGGAAACGTGGGGGCTCTAGGGCTCCCCACATCATGAGGTTTTAAGAAACTGAGTTTACTGCTCCCATCTCTGCTCCAGGGAGACTGGGTTTGGCTGAAGAAATTCCCAGGGGATCAGCACATAGCTATCCGCCCAGCAACCAAGACTGTATTTTCCAAGGTGAGAGAATGGGTCTACGATGGGGGGTGGGACAGCCATTGCTCCTTCCACCTTGCCTTCTCTTTGCAGCTGAGTCTACAGGTAGGCCCTGTTGCAGGGGAGACCAAGAGCTCTCAGTGAAGTGTCTCTCCCTCTCTAAAGCAAGTTTCCCACCATGATCTCTTATAACACTAGTTCTTTCCTTTGATGTTTTTATCATAATTTGTAATTGTTCACCTGTGTGTGCTTGCTTATTTCCTATCTGCCTCCCTCCCTGGACTGTAAGCGGAGTGAAGGTTTCCCCCTACCCCCTCCATTGTATTTGCAGCACCCAGCACAGTGTCTGGAACATTAGACACACTCAATGAATGTTTGTTGAGTGAATGATAGAAAATAAATGGGTTTCCAGTTCTGGCAGGCTACTTGTGCAGAATGGCCTGGTTAATGCATACTGAGAGAAGTGGAAAATTGGCAAGGAGGCTATAAACTGGCTTATTCTGGTCCTTCCAACCTTAATGCCCCTGTTACCCTGAACACCATACAGCCCTGTCCTGGCCTCCTTCCCTAACGCCTACACAGAAGCTCTTGGTCACAGCTGCAGAATGACTTAAGTGGACTACCAGTATGGGTCATTGGACTAAATCACTATTTAATAACAGGCATTTAAGACAAAAAGAAGCCCCTTATTGGACCAAAGAAAAGTCAGAAAGGGCACCAGTCACTCACTAGTCCCTGTTTTCCCAGCCAGACTGCAAGGGCTTCTGTCCTTCTGAGCGAGTGTGGCCTTGTTCGTGGCTCCTCTGGGACCACAGCTTGACTTCTCAGTCCTTCTTGCCTGACTTGGGGAGGGTGGGGGTCTCAGACAACCATGTAACCAAGAAAAGCAGCCCTGGGCGGAGTCACCTGCACAAGCCATTTCTGGTGATTTTTGAAAGCAGTGCAGTGTCTGCCTGGTTCTCTTCCAAGAGGCTGTTACATCAGAAGTGGGGGGGGGGTACCAGGAGCATCTACTTCATGAGGTGTTTTCTCTTAAGAGCCAGGAAGTTCAATGTCTTATGGTTAATAAATCAGAACCTGCCTGGATCCTGATTACCAGCACGAGGTTGTCTTCTCATTCATAACTTCAGGTGTCTGAACGGTGGCCTTTGACTATGTTGTCTTTTCCAGAGAGAGAAGTTATATGTAGAAGGAAGCCCCCCCGCCCCCACATGCCCTATAGACCTTTCCACTCACCATTTTTATCCATCTTCCAATCAAAAACAGACCTGAATAACAGCCTCCTCCGCGCTTTGCTCCCAGGACAGAAAATGCCTGTTAACTTACCCCCTCAGATCCGGGAGCTCCGGCATGAGAACTTGGCCCTCTACCTGGGGCTCTTCCTGGCTGGGGGAGCAGGCGGCCCTGCGGCCCCCGGGGAGGGCACGCTGGCTGTGGTCTCAGAGCACTGTGCCCGCGGCTCCCTCCAAGACCTCCTCGCCCAGAGAGACATAAAGCTGGACTGGATGTTCAAGTCCTCCCTCTTGCTAGACCTCATCAAGGTGTGCGTGTAGGGGTGGGACTGGGGTGGGATGCAGGGGGGAGGAGCCGGCAGGGGAACCACGTGGGCTGGGGCTGCCTCTTACTCCACCCTTTCCAGGGAATAAGATATCTGCACCATCGAGGCGTGGCTCACGGGCGGCTGAAGTCACGGAACTGCGTGGTGGACGGGAGGTTCGTGCTTAAGATCACGGACCATGGTCATGGGCGACTGCTGGAAGCGCAGAGGGTGCTACCGGAGCCTCCCAGCGCGGAGGGTAGGATTCCCCGGCTGCCTCCTGCGCAGACGAGCGTCCCCCGCATCCCCATTATTTCAAGGGCCTCTCCTTTCCTCCTTCCCTCGCACTCTCTCCATCCCACATCCACTGAACTCGACTCCTGCCGCGGAAAAGGTCTTGTGACCTCTGAGATGAGGAGGGTGGGGTCTTTGACTGGGGGGCGGGGACTTGTTAGGGGGCGGGAGTTGTGCCTGAGGGGTGGAGTTCCTGCCCTTGAAGGGGGTCTGCTCTTGCTAGGTCTTGTGCCCAAGAGGCTGAGTCTTCTCTGGGCTCTGCTTTGTCTAGAGGGCGGGGCCTATTTGTAAGGGTCCTGCTTTGTGAGATCTGTTTTGGATTTCTGGCAGATTCTCCTGGGGGTAACTGCGGGAGGGAGGTCCAGACTCAGGTTAGGGGTTGAGCCGTGCGAGCCTGGGTTTTCTGGTGAGAGTGGGAGTCTGTCCCCAGCGCCCCCATGGCCATCCGCGTGCCCATGCCCCCTTTCCCAACCCCAGACCAGCTATGGACAGCCCCGGAGCTGCTTCGGGACCCGGCCCTGGAGCGCCGGGGAACGCTGGCCGGGGACGTCTTCAGCCTGGGCATCATCATGCAGGAGGTGGTGTGCCGCAGCGCCCCCTACGCCATGCTGGAGCTGACTCCCGAGGGTACGGCCGCCCCGCTCTGGCGTCTGGGCTGGAAAGACACCCTGCTGTTAGGCAGCACCGGGCCAGACCCAGCCTCACTCCCTGCTGAGGCTTCTGTGGACCTCCCTTAAAGCTGGGGTCTGAAGGGTCAGGGCGGTGGGGAGCCAAGCATCAGGACCGGAGGGAGCTGCTTTTCAGCACCCAGACATTGGTGGTTTCCTCTGTCCTGACCCTGGACCCAACTTGTTTCCCCAACCATCAGAGGAAACTCCTCTCTGGTTCTTATGGGCCTCAGGGAGGCGGCAGGATGGGTGGAAGTGGGACAGAGAGCTTGATCTAGTTCAGATCTATATTACTTATCATCTATAGACCTCAGCAAGCTACCCGATCACTCTAACCCTCACTTTTCTTATGTGCAATAAATGTCAGTATTTTTGCCTGTCACCTCTTACTGCCCCTGCCCCACAGGGTTCAGGGTCCTCAGCAACCACCTCCCACATTACACTTCCTACACCTACTGAATCTCTTATTTAAGGGACCCCCTTCCAGTCCACTCATCTTGAGCTTCAGCAATCAGGCCAGAGTCAGAGGTGGCTTCTGTTCTGTCACATCCCCTCTCTTGGTCCCTTCATGCCTCTAGAAGTGGTGAAGAGGGTGCAGAGCCCCCCTCCACTGTGTCGGCCCTCAGTATCCATGGACCAGGCGCCCATGGAGTGCATCCAGCTGATGAAACAGTGCTGGGCAGAGCAGCCGGAACTTCGGCCCTCCATGGACCGCACCTTCGACCTGGTTAGGAGCTGGGATTGGGC